AGTTATTTTAGTGGCCACTCAAATGTTTTATGATTATAAATATCTTTATTAGCCTTTATTGCAGTCAAAATTATTTACTGACCCTCCAGCAGCACAAATGGTTTTAGACTAAAACAGTAGCTATTTCCTACTTTGAGGCAGGTCTAAAAGCCTCATTCTGGCATTATTATGCTCTTCCAAAATGAGACAACCTACATCTCAGAGCAAAATCACTGTGAGCGGCGCCCTGCCTGCTTAATAAATGACAACGTTTCCTTTAAATTCGAGTTTGAAGACCTAACATCTACCTAGTAGCCATCATCCTTCCCTGTTTCTGCCCAAGGGAACTCCTTCCAATGCCAAGATCACCTCTGAGACTCAGCCGTACCTCTCCAATCACCTCTCAAAAATACATGCATGCATGTGGGTTTATCTTTGTCTTGAGATAGCTCTACTTAGACTAAGGGGAAATTTTCTTTTACTCACCAAAAATGAGGAGATAAATGTAACACAGTATGATGGACTATACAACAGAATTTTTTTTTGTTTTGTTTCTGGACATGGAGTCTTGCTAAGTTGCCCAGGCTAGCTTTGAACTCACTTTGAACTGCCTCTGCCTCCTGAGTGCTGGGATTAAAGGCGTGTGCCACCACTGACTGGCTAGTGCCTCCCCCTTTAAGGTTTATTTATTTGCTTATTTATTTGCTTATTTATTTGCTTATTTATTTGCTTATTTATTTATTTATTTATTTATTTATTTATTTATTTATTTATTTATTTATTTATTTATTCCCTTTAAGATTCTTAAGAAATTTTGTGAGGCTGAGCTGGATAGATGCTCACTACTTAAGAGCACTTTGGCTCTTGTAGAAAACCTGGGTTCTGTTCCCAGCACCCACATACATCTGTAACTCCAGTCTCAGGAGATCCAACACCCTCTTCTGACCTCCAGGGGCATCAGGCACACACATGGTACATACATGTACATGCAGGTAAAACACCCACATACATAAAATGCAATAAATACATCTTTAAAAAATGTTTAAAAATCATGTATATGCTGGGCAAGGTAGCACATGCCTTTAATCCCAGCACTCAGGAGGCAGAGGCAGGAGGATCTTTTTGAGTTCAAGGCAGCCTGGTCTACAGAGTGAGTTCTAAGTCAGCCAGGACTACACAGTGAAACCTTGTCTCAAAATAAAATAAATATATATGACATGAAAGTGGACATGGAACTGTCTAGGATGTTGGTTCTAATATCAGCAAAGGATGGCAGTGCCCTGCAGTAACAGGGCAGATGAACTTGCCAGGGAAACCAGGTAAGCAGGCAACAGCAAAGTTTTCTTTCTTCTGCCATATCATCTCTTTCTGGCTGGCCTGCCACTGGAAGGTGCCACCCACATTTAGGTGGGTCCTTCCCACTTCATATAATCTATTAAGAAAATGACAGGTGGTGGCACACACCTGTAATCCCAGCACTTAGGAGGCAGAGGCAGGCAGATTTCTGTGAGTTCAAGGACAATCTGGTCTACAAAGCAAGTTCCAGGTCAGCCAAGGCTATACAAAGAGACCTTGTCTCAAAAACAAAACAAAACAAAAACAAAAAACAAAAAACCAGGCAGAGTGGTGCACACCTTTAATCCCATCACCTTATGAGTCTGAGGCCAGCCGGGTCTACATAATGAGTTCTAGGATAGCTAGAAATACATAGTGAGACCCTGTCTGGAAAAAAGAAAAAAAGAAAGTCCCTCCCAGTAGTGCCCAGCCCCTGGCTTTTAGTTGATTCCAGATTCAGTCAGGTTGGCAACCATGATTCACCATCACAACCCTCGTCCACTTGATGTCCAATCAGATTGCCTTATGCCACACTTAACTTCCAAACGCAAACCATAGCAAGGTCATAATTCCACCTAATATGCTGTAATCTACACACACAACCGAAATCACAGGTTGGCCTTTGGCTCTAGCCAGGATCGTTATAATAATTCTCTAATTCACTTCCTTGTTTCTACCAGTCAGCTTTTGCCATCGTAGAAACAGAGATTTTTCTGTAATATGAATCAGGAAACTTTGCTCAAAATCCTTCAGCAATGGGGCTGCAGAGATGGCTCAGCAGTTAAGAACAGTGGCTTCCCTTCCAGAGGACCTGGGTTCGATTCCTAGCACCCCACATGGTAGCTCACAGCTGTATGTAAGTCCAGTCCCAGGGGATCCAATGCTCCCTTTTGCCCTTTGCAGGCCCCTTACATGGTGCACATGCAGGCAAAATATACATACATAAGATTTTTTTTTTTTAAATTAAAAATAATCCACCCGGGCAGTGGTGGTGCCTGCCTTTAATCCCAGCACTTGGGAGGCAGAGGCAGGTGGATCTCTGTGAGTTCGAGGCCAGCCTGGTCTCCAAAGTGAGATCCAGAAAAGGCTCAAAGCTACACAGAGAAACCCTGTCTCAAAAAACCAAATAATAATAATAATAATAACAATCCTGCCTACATAATCTGATGGCATGCTCACAACCGATTTGAGTTTCATTCTTTATTTTCTCTTAAAAAATTTTTTTAGCTGGGCAGTGGTGTATTTAATACTAGCTGAATACTAGTATGATGGCGTGTCTGGAAGTCAGTTAAAATGCATGCTAACTAAGTCAGGTAATGGTGGCTCACGCCTTTAATCCCAGCACTCGGGAGGCAGAGCCAGGCGGGTCTCTGTGAGTTCGAGGCCAGCCTGGACTACCAAATGAGTTCCAGGAAAAGGAGCAAAGCTACACAAAGAAACCCTGTCTCGAAAAACCAAAAAAAAAAATAAATAAATAAATAAATAAATAAAAATTAAAAAAAAAAAAGTTTCTATTTTTTTTTTTTTTAACCTGGGAGCTGAGGACCGAACCCAAGCCTTGCACTTGCTAGGCAAGCATTCTACCACTGAGCTAAAGCCCCAACCCCTCTATTTTTATTTATATGTTTATTGTGGGTGGCGTACAACACGGCATGTATGTGGAAGTCAGAGGACAACTTTCAGAAATCGGTTCTCTTTTCTCCTTTGCAGGGATTGAACTCAGGTCTTCAGGCTTGGCACCAAACACTTTCACCTACTGATCCATTTTTTTTAATGTATTCATTTCTGTATATGAGTGCTCTATTTGCATGTGTGCCCTCATGACAGAAGAGGGCATCAGTCCCCATTGTAAGTGGCGGCGAGCCACCGTGTGGATGCTGGGAATTGAACTCTGGACCTCCAGAAGAGCAGCCAGTGCTCTAAACTGCTGAGCCATCTCTCCATCCTCACCAATCCATCCTTTAAAAATTTTTAAAAATATATATATATTGTGTATTGTTTTGCTTGCATGTATGTCTTGAGTACATGCATGCAATGCCGTCAGAGGCCAGAAGAGGGCAGCAGATAACCGAGGCTGGAGTTAGACAAGGTTGTGAGCCACCATATAGGTACTAGGAATGGAACTGGGATCTTCTGGAAGAGCAGCCAGGGCTCTTAACCAATGAGCCCTCTCTCCATCTTCCCACTGATGCATCTTGCCCAGTTTTTTTCATCACAGCCTTTAAATTTTTAAATTACCTCTCTCTCTCTCTTTCTCTCTCTCTCTCTCCCTCCCTCCATCCACCCATCATCCGTCCATCCTGTGCTTGTGTGAGAGAGCATGTACCACGGAACACTGGTGGATCAAAGGACCACTTTTAAAAGACATTCTCTCTTTCCACCAGGGGGTCCTGAGGTTCAAACTCAGGTCCTCAGGCTTGGCAGCAAGGACCTTAACCTGCCGAGCCATCTTGCCAGCCTACTTCAGCTTGTTCTTTTTATGTTTTGTTTTGTTTTTGTTTTTGTTTTTGTTTTTTTTAGACAGGCTTTCTCTATGTAGCCCTGGCTGTCCTGGAACTTTCTCTGTAGACCAGGCTGGCCTTAAACTCACAGAGAACCGCCTGCCTCTGCCTCTCAAGTGCTGGGATTAAAGGCGTGCGCCACCACTGCCTGGCTAATTTTTTTTTTTTTGTCATAATTATAGAAAAAAATCCAATTCAAAGCAAAGAAATTTCAATGAAATAAAAATTTAATTGCATTATATAAGAAATTGATGTGAAAATTATATGACCAGAATGAAGTTTACTCCAAATGATACCTTTCATATGGGGTGGTGGCTTATTCCTAATCTCCTACCATTTGGAAGGCTGAGGCAGGAGCATTGCTGTGAGGTCTAAGCCAGCCTAGACTGTACAGTGAAATGCAAGCCATCTACAAGGCCTACAGAGCGCTAGAGTGCTAGCCTATCTCACAAAGCAGAACAAAGAAAAAAAACAAAAACAAAAGAAAACAAAAACAAAACACCCAAAGCCAAAATACAACAGAAGACACCTTCTAGCTGAAAAGCCATCTATATTGATATAACTGATTCATAGCACTTGCATCATATTTAGGGTTGGGGTCTTAACTTGCTGGTAGAGTGTCTGCTTGGCATGCTCAAGGCCCCTAATTTAATTCCTAACACCACTTAGAAATAAAATTCTGGGCCTAAAATGTTTGGTCAAAATCCTCAGTGCTTATTAGTGTCACGGAACAGAAAGTTCCAGAAAGCCGTTGTTCTCGGGCTAGAGCTTTACACGTCAGGGCTACAATTATTAACCTGGAACGCAGCACTGTGTAAGTAGCAATCTGGTTTCCTTGGCATCGGATGTAAAATAATGCATGCTGGGAGCCCAATAACTGCTTGCTGAATGTCAAGATTCTTGTAATGCACTGTAAGTATTAAGGACGGAGGACTTGACCTGTCGAGTGGGTCATTTTAAACTTAACAATTACTGAATCACAAATGAGCTCTCTAAAGCTCTGGGAGCAGAATCAGTGAAACTGGGGACATTGCCATCTTTGGTAGAAACACAAGCCTTCTGAAAAAATAAACCATGTCTTAGTCATAAAATGAAGTACTTTCAGGTTTATGTTCTTTATTCACCAAACTTAATTCTCCTTTAAGCTTTTTTTTTTTCCTTTAAAATTTGCTTTTGCAGATTTTCCTACTCTCCACTTACAAGGCCACCATGGAAATCTCAAAGGAAGCATTATATGAAGAATTTGAGAACTATTCCTACACGGTAGAATATTACTCCCAGGAGTCTGATTCAGAGGAGACGCTGCACCTGGGAATCATTCACTGGATCTCCCTGCTGTTACATGTCCTAGCATTTGTTCTGGGGATTCCAGGAAACGCCATTGTCATTTGGTTCATGGGATTCAAGTGGAAGAAGACAGTCACTACTCTCTGGTTCCTCAATCTGGCCATTGCAGATTTCGTTTTTGTGCTCTTCCTGCCCCTCTACGTCTCCTACATGGCCTTGAATTTCCACTGGCCCTTTGGCCTGTGGCTTTGCAAGGCTAACTCCTTCATTGCCCAGCTGAACATGTTTTCTAGTGTTTTCTTCTTGACAGTGATCAGCCTGGATCACTATTTCCGCTTGATCCATCCTGTCTTGTCTCATCGGCACCGGACCCTGAAGAACTCACTGGGCGTTGTTATATTTGTCTGGCTTTCGGCTTCTCTGCTTGGAGGGCCTGTCCTGTACTTCCGGGACACTGTGGAGGTCAATAACCACATTATTTGTTATAACAATTTCCAGGAGCACGACCCTGCCCTCACCTTGGTAAGACACCATGTTCTGACCTGGGTCAAGTTCCTTTTTGGCTACCTCTTCCCTCTGCTGACAATGAGCTTGTGCTACTTGTGTCTCATCTTCAAGGCAAAGAAGCAAAACATTCCCATGTCCAGCAAGCATTTTTGGACAATCCTCTCTGTGGTCATTGCCTTCATGGTCTGCTGGACTCCTTATCACCTGTTTAGCATTTGGGAACTCAGCGTCTACCACAACAGCTCTTTCCATCATGTCCTGCAGAGCGGGGTCCCTCTCTCTACTGGCTTGGCATTCCTCAATAGCTGCTTGAACCCCATCCTTTACGTTCTAATTAGCAAGAAGTTCCAAGCTCACTTCCGGGCCTCTGTTGCTGAGGTACTCAAGCATTCTCTGTGGGAAGTCAGCTGTCCTGGCACAGTGAGCGAACCGCTCAGGAGCGCTGGAACCAAGAGCTTGTCTCCCCCAGAAACAGCCCAATGAGTCCTGTGTTCCCGGAAATCAGCATGGTGTCTTCACGGGATCCCGGTGACAAATCCTGTCAGATGAAGCTTCGTTCTGATCTAAACTGGCCATATTTCTGTTGTTTTCGTTCAGTGTATTGGCCTTATACTTTTGTGTGGGCATAAAATGTAGGATTTCTTCCCCGCAATTTAAATGATGCATCTTTCTGGCTGCCCTCTGGTGGCAATTGTGATACTGACAAGCTAAACTTTTCTCCCTCTGCCTGCGTCTATATCTATGTATCAGATTAACTAAATCATTTTTGTAATGCATACCACATTACATTAATCATCTTGAAAAAGTATCAGGCTCACTTTTATTTGCTTTTGGGTCATTTTGTGCATGCATGCGTGTTCATGTGCGTGCAGGTACACATGTATGAACTGTGGTAAGCAAACCTTGAGATTGTTGCTCCTCAGGAGCCTCCCACCTAATTTTTTTGAGACAGAGTCTTTCACTTGCCTAGAGCTCACCAAGCAGGCTAAGATGGCGAGCCTGCAAGTCCCAGAGATCTCCTTATCTCCTCCACCTCCCCAACACTGAGACTGCATGCATGCATGCCACCATGCCAGGCTTTTTCTAATGTGTGCTGAACTCAGGTTTTCCTTGAATGCACTTTACCAGCTCAGCATCTCCCCAGTTCCCTGATCACCTTTGCAGTTACCAAAGGGGAAATTATCAAAAGACTTTGGCATAGAGTTTCACTATGTAGCCTAGACTGGCCTCAAGCTCCAATAAACAAATTGAATCTACATAAATTTTAACAGCGTAATATACAAATATTCAACTTTTTAATAATTTATGAATTAAACTGCTAGTCATATTGGTTTAAAACTTCAATTCCTGTTAACTGTTTATTTAATAAGTTGCCCCCAAAATCTAATTGCTTAAAACAACAATCTATTGTTCATATAGTTCAGGAATACAAGCAAGATAGGTTGATTTGGCTCTGCTTCCTTTGTCTGGAGCCTCAGGTGGATAATGATGCAAAGGGCCTCGCTTGGACTAGTTAACCCTCTCACATCTGTCCAGACCCTGTTCAGGGTGGCCACTTTTCAGTTCCAAAAGCTGCAGGTGACGTGTGCTCCACCACTGAACCACATCCTCAGGCCTATTAAAGGTTATGTCACTCACACAGCATTGTGAGTGCACACACAATCGGTCAAAGCAAGACTAGGCTAGCTCACAAACGGAGGGAAGGGACAGACCTCTTGATGAAACGTGGCTACAATTTTGTGTTCTTTAGACCATCACAGTTATGGGAAATTGTGGCTGTGTACAAGTGTGTAGATTACTATAAGCAACAGAAACACATTCCCAGGTGATAGAGAGGCTGGCTGGAACTCAGGACCACTTCAAAGAGCATACATCGCTGGCATAGTGCTATCTTTTGTTCTTTTGTTTACGTGGACGCCAGTAGAAGCTGAATAAAATATACCTTTACGTCAGTGTTCTCGACAATTCTCAAGCACTATGGATCCCCAGAATAGCAAGTGCTGCCCTCTGCCGGCTTTGGCTTTCAGGGTTCTGACATTCCTCTGCTGGCTCTCAGGGTCTTGACACTGCCCTCTGCTGGTCCTTACGATCCTAACAACCATGAAAAAAATTCCCCACTATTTCTGGCTGCCTATTTAAGTGCGTTTTCCTCAGTGCCAATTTTAATAAACAAATCTTTACAATGTGAAGCTTTCCTCACTCGACTAAGAGCAAAAGTACTGTCCGGTTGAGTGAAATAACCCTGGATTACTTAGTTTTCTGGATCCCCATCTACAAAATCGGGAAAGCTTTTAGACACAACATCCAAACAAAAAACTCTAGTTAACTGCATCTGGTATTTAACACGGCGTCCCAACAGCTGTGTACGTCCAGGGTGGTACAATCCACGGCAGTAGCTGTTAGCATACTGCCCGCCCCAGCCAGCACTTAACCAACTTAGGGATCCACCCAAGAACCTCAAGTGTGGGAGGCCTAGGAATCAGTTCCCTACACAACGCCCTCTAGGACATAATGCTAACACCAGATTATACTTTTATTTTTTGTGTAGCCCTGGCTTTCCTGGATCTCACTCTGTAGACCAGGCTGGCCTCAAACTGAGATCCACCTGTCTCTGGAATTACAGGAATGTACCACCACCACCACCACCACGCAGATCACACTTCTAAAAGGTTCAACCTCTATATTTCAAATTCTGTAAATGGCAATTTACTTACCTCCTCTGGTACAGTGGCATCTAAACCTTTTTGGGGGTGGAGGGCTACAGAGATTGCTCAACAATTAGGAGTACTTTGGCACCAACACCTACCTACACTGTAGCTAATATCCACCCAGAACTCGTTCTAGGGGAGCAGACACCCTCTTCTGAACTCCTCAGGCCCCAGGCATCCATGTGGTGCACATACATATCACTGATGAAGAAAACGGTTTTTGTTTGTGTATGGGTGCTGTCCATGTGAAGGTCAGAGGACCATCTCCCAAAGTTGGCATTCTACTCCCACCTAGGCTCTAGGGACTGAAACAAGGTGGTAACGCTAGAGGCGGGCACCCTTAGTGCCAGATCATCTTACTGCCCCAAGATTCAATTTTCCTTTTCTTTTTAAAAGCTTTATTATGTATAGTGTTCTGCCAGCATGTACACCTGCAGGCCAGGAGAGGGCAGCAGATCTCATTACAGATGGTTGTGAGCCACCATGTGAAGACCAGCCAGTGCTCTTAACCTCTGAGCCATCTCTCCAGTCCTCAACTTAGTTTCAAAAAACTAAGATGTCTGATATCCATGAGTACCATGTAATGCTGACAGCCACAGAATTGTATCACCAATGGCTACAAAATTATACTAAAATTGCTAAACGTTTAATAACACTACATCAGTTTTTTTGTTTAATGCTGTGTGTGGTCATGTAATACACGAAACACACATGTTGTTAAAAGACAACTTCTGGGAGTCAGTACTCTCTCTCTCTCCTTCCACCACATGGGTTAAACTCAGACTGGCCATCAAGCTTGGCCCAAGTGACTTGCCTGCTGAGATACCTTTCCAGCCCCCAAGTTTTCATTACGTATGAATTACACAGCCACTGAATCCTTTCCCTCAAAATGAAGACATATACCATTGTAGAATCAAGAGCCAAGGGTTATTTTCAAGCTTTTATTCAAGTGCACTGACTTGAGGATGATTTTAGATTTTGTTAAAAGCAGCCACATCCATGGACTGCACGTAGTCCTCAAAAGCAGTGATCTGCTCCTCCAGCATATCTGTGCCAACTTTATCATCTTCAACTACACACTGTATTTGAAGCTTTTTGATTCCATATCCCACGGGGACCAATTTGGCTAAAAAAACATCAAGAGAAAAAATTGTTAGGAGACCGTCAATGTCGTAAAAATGGAAAATGTACATAAACCCCAGCTTCAAACCACGCTCATCGCACTTACAAGAGCCCCAAACCAAGCCATCTGCTTGAATGCTTCTGACACACTCCTCCAATTTAGCCATGTCTGTCTCATCGTCCCAAGGCTTCACATCTAACAAGATGGAAGACTTGGCAACAACCGCGGGCTCTACAAAAGATTAAGACACGCATTACACTCAACTGAACACCTTGCCCTCGGCCAAATCTCAATGCGTCTCCAAGCAGACCATCTTCTTGCTGAAAAACACACAGAATGTACCACCTTGTGTGTGTCACGCACATTCCTCTTTCTGTTTGGCTAAGAAAGAGGCATTAATGGTGCACAGTTCCTTTCCCACAGAGGAATGCTACAGCTGCAACCATAGGAACAGCTGTAGACCAGTAGCTGTGGACGTCTATGAGGCAAGCTGGGTAATGTGACTGTATTGATCCAGTCAACGAAATTGGAAAAAACACAACCCAAAGTCACTTTGGAAAAGACCACTCTCATCATTATTTAACGATGAAGGGAAGCTGTAAAGCTACCTACTTTTGGCTTTCTTTGATTCATACTGTGCAAGGCGCTCTTCTCGGAGCCTCTTTGCTTCTTCGCTTTCCTGTACAGGACAAAAAAAATTTCACAGAATTGGTTACCTTCTATATAAATGTAGTGACAGGGTCGTTACAAAAATGACAAGGGTTTATCAGAAAAAAGCAAATCCATCAGGAGCTCAGCCGAAAGATGGTGATTTGGTTTCATTCATCATGTATGTACCCAGTGCTAACTTTCCAGGGCAGTGACTACAGCATCCACACTCGGGCTTGAAGCCACACGGCCTCACCAACATGCTCTCAGAAACAGCCGGCCATACCTCCTCATCATCAGACCCGAAGAGGTCAATGTCGTCATCATCCTTAGCATCCGCAGCCCCGCTTCCTGTGGTGTCTTCCACACTGGCAGGGCCGTACTTGCCCAAGGATTTCTTCACTCCTGGCAGGCTTTAAAGAGAACAGTCGTCTATCACAATTAGGTCGGTGTCACATCCTTTTCTGGACAAAACACAAAATCCTTCTTTCCCAGTAACAATCCCTCCTGTTTTGGTTGTTTACTCTTTAGCGTAATCCCAGGTAAAAATTTTATGTGTGGCCAACTCTTCAGGCAGCAAACGTTAGTACCACGGGGGACATCACACGCAGTACTCACTATGGTTTAACTCTTTCAGAATGAACGTCTCTGCGAGATTTCATTAAGTATGCTCACTTCCATTCTTAGTTAACTGACGTCCACTTCCCCAAACTCTCCACCCTTGCTGGTAGTTTCAGAAGAATGGCCAGGGGCTCAATGAATGAGCTACCCTCTCACCCCAGCGACGGGGGCCCCCCCAGGTCGGAGCACATTGGCAGGGTGGTGTGGAGTAAAGCTGAACTGCTGTTGTCCAGGTTCTACCTGTTCCATGAGAAAGTGGGGGACTTCAGTCTCTCGGCCTTTTAAGGTCACAAGAAATTCAGTGTACACTAGCCCAACAAAGCTAAAGTAACCTGTAACCTGGGTCCCACTTTGCCATGTGCAAATCCAGGTAGCAAAGACATTTTTTCTTTTTTACCTGGCTTTCTCTTTCTCGTAAGACTTGATGTGATTATACCAGCGCAGGGCATGACACAGGTCGGCGGGCGGTGGCCCAGAGACGGCTTCAAACACTGCCACATCGGCTTGGGACGGCACATACCTGCCGGCGACAAAAGAAAACAAGTGCACCCACCTTTAAAAGACAAGGCACACAACACCAGCTAGTCTGTGACAACCCCTGCATCCCTCAAAGTAACACGTGGGGGGGGGGGCTAGCAAGTTGCTTTAAACTAAGTGCACTGACCATCTGTTTCGAATCTGTGCAAGCCGAGGCTCTCTGCCACGTAGAGAGAGATCCCACAGGCTACCTAACCTTCCAATCAGCCCAGCCCCGGGGTTGAAATGTATGAACTCCCCAAAGACGCGGAAGAAGTTCGATCGCAGCCCCCACGGAAGCCCCGCACACTTCAATCACCCCGCCTGCCGCCCCTCCCGGGAGCTCCGGCTCCGGCGGCATCCGGGCCCCGTTGAGAGCCGGGCTCGGCTTCCCCTCGTCCCAGGCGACCCCCGCTTCCCTCCGGCCCGCCGATCGTCCCAGGCACCCGCCGAGCCCGCCGAGCCCGCCCGCCCGGGCCACGTGGCCCCGGCCTCCCCGCTCACCCCTCGATGTAGCTCTTGTCCGCCAGGTAATCGTTGAGCACCTGGAGGCCGGCGGGGGTTTTCAGGTCTCCGAAACCCATGGCGTCTCGGCTGGAGCACGAAGCCCGGTAGCAGCGGAGGGGGAAAAAAAAAAAAAGAGCGCCAGAGGCCCGCGGCGGCCGGCGCGGAGGGGGGCAGAAAAAAGGGCCCGGGCCGGCCGGAAAAGTCCTTATATAGAGACGGAGGCGTTTCCCTCCGCTGCACCGGCTAGGGGTTAAAGGTCAGAGGACGTCCCCGGTCTCCTTCCTCCGCGTCCACCCGGGACTCGCGAGTTACACGGCCCGCAGGCGGTCCGCGGGCCTTCCGGGGCGCTCGGCGAGAAGCTGATAAAAGAGACATTTTAAAACGCCTACCTCCAGGGGTTCCGGAACCCCGGGAGACGCCCCGCGAAGAGCCGGAGTGGAACGAAAACGCGCGGCCTCAAGGCCCCGTCTACTTCCGGCGGAACTGCGGGTGCCCTTCGTCGTCGTCCCCCCCCTCTCCGCTTCCTCCTCCGGGCTCGCGCTCAGCCTGACGGAAATTGCCGAACGGGGCCCCAAAGAGGAGGGGCGGGGGTGGTGGTGGTGGAGCATTGTCGCACCTTGGGTTTTTCGTCCCTCCTGGCTTTCCGTCCTCCGGGTCCCGCTGACGTTCTTCGCCGAGGCCGCCATATTGACTTAGCGGCCCGGTCTGGTGGGGTCGGGAAGGACCCGGACGAGTCCGCGGAGCAGCCTGGTGGGCGCCGGAGCGAAGGTGAGGGCGTGTTTAGGTGCGGGAGGCTGAGGTGCCTCCCGCAGGGTTTTATTTCTTGGCAGGAGGCTTGCGCCCGTGAGGTCAGACGAGTCATCCTCCGCTTGTCCTTGACTGGGTACCGCCTCCCGCCCCGCCGCCGCTGCCGCCGCCGCCGCGGGGACCGGGCAGTACCGGCAGGGGAGGCTTGACTTAGGCTTCTTGGTTTCTGGCCTGATGGAGCTGAAGGGAGAGAGATCAGAAGACCTTTGGGAGCTCGGGCTTCTCTCCCTCTGCAGGATCACATTAGGCATCCTTGTTTGGTTGCTGCTGCTGTCTTTCTGCTGTCCGCAGTACTGTTTGTTTTGTCTAGTTCATTGATCACGTTGGGAAAACTGACAAAAAAAAAAAAAACTTTTTTAAAAAAGTTAGCTGGGGCTGGTTAGCTAAGCAGTTAGAGAGAACCTTGGCGGAGAGGATCCGAGTTCGGGTCTCACTTGTCCAGGTCAAGGAGACTCACAACTGCCTGTCACTGTGCTCCAGGGGATTCGCCACCCTCTTCTGGACTGTGAGCAGCCTGCACTCACATGGCCCCCGTACAGACATGCACATGCACACATACAGAAAAAACGGAATCTTCAAAAGTTAGCTCGGAGCCCAGCTGCAAATCAGGAAGCTGCAGTGTCTTCAGGTTCTTGGGAGTCAGTGTTTGTAAGATCACACTGAATTGTAAACATTAGGTTTTTTTTTTCCCCTGGGAATGTTTTCTTTTCTTTTCTTTTTTTTTTTTCTCACTGAATTTTGCATCCTTAAGTGGAGTGTTCTAAGCCAGAACATCAGCAACTTTTAGAAAGTTGTTTTACAGTTACCACAGCCAAGATATCCGAGATGTGCCAGGTGTGGTGGTCTATAATCCCAGCGATTATAGACAGAAGGATTGAACCCAGCACTTTGTGCCTGCTGGGTAAGAACTCTACTAAGTGAGCTACATCCCAGGCTTGGGTAGTTATTTTTGTTCCTATTTGATAGCTATATGTCAGAAACACATATCAGGGCTGGCGGGCTAGCTTAGTTGGTAATGATGCTTGCTGCCAAGTCTGACAACCTGAGTTTGATCGCCAGAACCCCGTGATGGAAGGCGGGAACTGACTCCCAATAGTTGTCCTTTGGCTTCCACATACACAGACAGGCCCCACCGCCATGCACGCATGCTAGCACACACAAAGTAAATAAATGATTGTAAAAAACAAAACCAACCACAGCAGTAAACATACACCAATCTAGACGTGGTGGCGCATGTTCATAATCCCGGCGCTTGCTTGGGAAGTGAGGCCTGAGGCTTAGGAGTCCCAAGTTGATCCTTGCTTTCATAGCAAGGTTGAGGTCAGTCTGAGGTACATGAGATTTATCTCAAAAATAATACCACCAAAGTAAAAAACCACAACAAAACAAACTGTATACTGTGTAAGCCAGTATATCCTCGAACTCTCTATTTAGTGCAGGTTTTATTTCATGTAGCTCAGGCTGGCCTCAAATGCATGACTCTCAAGCTTCATTCCCAGTGTTGGGATTATGGGTTTGGGCTACCATGCTCATTAATACTTTTTTCTAATGGAGTATGTACTTCCCGTTCTGGAATTTGTAAGGGCACTGTGCTACTCATCAGAAAAGGGCAATAGATTTCTTGTCAAGGACTTTATAGTCTCGTAGGTACCAAAATTGATAATTCACCTGCAACTTAGTGTTGGGGCTTGTTTCTTTGTTATCTGTGCTAGGGATGCAGCCCAGTGCAGACGACGAAAGTGGTCCTCCACCAAAGCTACATGCTTAGCCCAAGTCTAGTAATAAGCAGAAGAGTAAAACAAACACGTGGTGTCTGCTGGTAGTCAAGGGCCACAGACGAAGAGCACTTTACAACTGGTCGTCAGTGGCCATTACTGATTAAAGTGAAGTCTGTTTTTATTGAAAAATTTTTCTTTGTTTTTAACTATTGGCAATTATCGACCTAGTAGTAACACCCTAGAAAGTATTGTAAATCTGCTCTGTAGATAAAGAAGCATAATAATAACTGATTTATTATTCGTTATTAAAAATAAATAACTGATTTACCAGAAATTACTAGTAGACTTGATGTCTGCAAATTCAGCATTGAAAATTGTAGATTACTGTTATTAAGGAATTCATTAAATAAAATTAATTATGAATTAATGAAACTTTTTTGTTTGTTTGTTTGTTTTCCGAGACAGGGTTTCTCTGTGTAGTTTTGGTGTCTGTCCTGGATCTCACTCTGTAGACCAGGCTGGCATCGAACTCACAGAGATCTGCCTGGCTCTGCCTCATGAGTGCTGGGATTAAAGGCGTGCGCCACCACCTCCTGGCTGAAACTTTTAATTATAGGTCATTTGTGATAACTACAGACTTTAGTGCTTAAGCTTCTATTTTATCTGGAGTGGTAGTGCCTTTAACCTCAGCACTTGAGATTAGAGGCCTGTGGATGGATCTCTGAGTTTCGGGCCAGTCTCATCCCTATGTAGCTAAAAGCCGCTTGTAGTAGTACATGCCATAGGATCTGTTGAAGAGGTAGAGGCCGGCAGGTCATGAATTCAAGACCAGCGTGGGCTGTACTTTGGGGACTGGAGAGATGGCTCAGTGGTTAAGACCCCTCCCTGGCTATTCTTCTAGAGGACCCAGGTTTGAGTCTCAAAAATTAGATGACAACCCAGCAGCTGTTTGTAACTCCAGTCCCAGGGAGTCTGATAGCCTCTCCTGGCCTCCCTGGGCATCAAGCATGCACATGGTGAGCAGATACACATGCAGGCAGAACACTTATACTTAAGTTTTCTTTAATTAAAAAGGAAAAGAAACAAATTCTGGTTTTACACTATTTTCTATTAGTACTGCTACTGCTATTGAAACTTTTTTTTTATTCTTTAATATTGATATGTTCTAATCACATAATTTTTTTCTTACTGTCTTTAAAAGGTGAAAACAAACACGGAAAACTAGCCATCTTGCATATCCCTGAGATCCCAGCAGCAGTCTGACAATAAAGGCAGGAGAATCAGGAGTTTAAGGCTGGTCTGAGCTACACGAGATCCTGTCACCAAAACCAAACAAACCAACAGACTACACAAAACTTCTAAAAATTCCAAAAGAAAAATTATGGTTTTAGAGACTGTGCTACATAGTTTTATGTCAACTTGACACAAGCTAAAGTCATCCGTGAGAGGAGGGGACCTCAATTAAGAAAATGCTTCCAGGACAGGCAGTGGTAGTACAAACCTTTAGTCCCAGCCCTCAGGAGGCAGAGGCAGGCGGATCTCTGAGTTCAAGGCCAGCCTGGTCTACAGAGCGAGTTCCGGGACAGCCAGGGCTACACAGAGAAACCCTGTTATTTTAATAACAACAACAACAACAACAAATTACTTCCTTTTCTGTATATGATGTTTTGCCTGCGTGTACACGTGTGCACTGTGTGCGCGCTGGTGCCTGCAGAGAACAGAGGAGACCAACTGCAGCTGTGGTTGGTGTGAGAGCAACAAACGCTGTAAACAGCCCAGCCTCTCCAGTCGCCTTTCTGTTTCTGAGACAGCATCTCACCAGGTTATCCAGGCTGACATTGAACTCACGCAAGGTCTAGGCAGGCCTGGAGCATGTGATCCTGCTGCCGTGGTGGCCCAAGTAACTGAGATTACAGTCCTGTAACACCAGGTCCAACGGAGGACCATTGTTTTAAAGCTTACTTTTATGAGCTCTTGGGAATTGGTACTCAAGTAGGAAGATTCCATGAGTTGATGATCACTCAGGATAGCAGCATAATACAAGCAAATTGCTGGTCTGTGAGATAAACTTACTCCTCAGCACAGAATGATGGTCCTTAAGATGTATCAAAGGCTTTTGACTTCTGAGCTACCTCAGAATATCTTAGGATCACATATAATTCATATATCACGAAAGTGCATACTGAAGCCAGTTGTGGTAGCACCCTGGAAGCAGAGGTAGGAGGATTGCTTCAAGACTGACCAAGATAAATAGCAAGACCATGTTTTAAACAAAAACCCCAACATACTGGTAGAAGATGAGGGCAGAAGGGTGTTTTATTTATTTTAAATAGCTATTAACGATAGTTATTTTTGCAATTTATTTTACTTTATTCTTTTTCGTTGAGACAGTGTTTCCAGTATCTCTACCTGACTTCAAACTTGCTGTGTAGGAAAAGATGACCTTGAACTTCTGATCCTCCTGCCTCCACTCCCCACCCCCCAGTTTCTGGGATTACAGGCATGTAATCCAGTTTATGCTGTGCTGGGGTTAGAATTTAGGACTTCCTGAATGCTAGGCAGACACTCTTGTGTATTGTATCCCAACTGAGCTGTGTTCCAGGCCCTTACCACTTCCCTCTGGTTATGAC